AGAAAAACGTATTTTAACGTATTTTTGAAGTATTTTATTTCTAAGCAAAAATACGCAAAATACGGCGTATTTAAAAAATTATCTCACGTATTTTTCAACTCTGTTTAAAACACAACGCACGAAACGATCTAAATTCACGCACTTTTAGGTACCTTTAGGGACTTTGTACCAAATAAACTTATATACAGTATAAAACCCCGATTTACTGCGCCCCGATTCACCACAAACCCCGATATACCGCGGCCATCTCCTTTCCCCCAAACAAGGCTTATCATGTTTAATGTAAACAAACAAAACCCAGATTTACTGCGAACCCCAATTTACCGCGGATGTTTCCTTCCCCCAAACTCCGCAGTTATTCGGGGTGTTACTGTATTATAGTAGTGGTAGTACTAGTACACACACCATCGGACACTTTCACGTAATTTCAATCATTATCTAATTCTATATCAACAAATTGTTTTTTCAATTTATTAGTCACTATAATTAGCTAATTATCCAATTCAATGATAATTTAACAGGAAAATTGTCACAGAGTCACAGAGATAACATCAAAACAACAACAACAACAAACATCCTAGTTATAACTGGATCTTTCTGTGACCTTTACCTACCTTTTACAGTCGAAGACATTTCAAAATTAGCAACTATTCAATAATTGCTAAGCAAAAGATAGTGAATATTAATTTTAAAATTTTGGTATTCAAAATATCGAAATACCAAAATTTTCCAACTTTTTATCATTATGAATACGACTTAATACCTCCATCAATTTTGTGATTAGCATGAGCTTATTGATTAAAATCTAATTTGTCTTTTAAAATTCATTTTATAATCTTACGACTTTACTAAGTTACTACTGATTATCTTACTGTATAACTATATATAAAGCGAGAAGATATACTAGGTATATATGTTGCAATTTTATTTATAATGACAACACGGCATCAACTTTAACACGAATTTCCAAACCGTGAGAGATATACGATTGAAACTGGGTCAAATGCTTTTATGGCCTTATTATCAGTATACAGAAATAAGAACTCGGCCACGGAATAACAACTTTAGGTCCCGAAATTTGGACCCCCAAGTGTTGTCAATTGTAATAGGGGTAGCTGTACTCGGCAATTAAGATTCAATAAACATCAGCTAATTGGACATTACGATTAACTACCAATCTTATCCCGAAATACTAGGTATCGACGCGAAAGCAACCCAAAAAGACTTTTTCAGCATTTGATTGATATAATTAATTAAAACTTATTACAATTCGTAAGTCGTGAATAAATGGGAAAAGCGAGCGACCGATTTCATTCTCGGTATCATTTTGCATTTGTGGACGGTTATTCAAATTAATATCGTTTCCTTGCAAATGAGAGACACTGGCAGCGGTCCACCCTACCAGTGTCAAATTTTGGTCAAATTTATAAACAGAAAGACTTTAAAGCATTACTTGAAACATGGAAATATGGCCCGCAAGACAGGAGCCATGCTAAATTACTAAAAATCTATCGTACCCTGTAACGTAGCCAGTTTTATAAATGGCTACGTTCCTTGCAACGCGTTATCCTTTAACTCAAACTGCAAAGCATGATTTTATTTCTGGTGGTAATTGACTAAAGACTGGCACCGCGCTGCAATTAGATTTAGATTGTGCGTGGCACCGGAAAGGTTTCTGCAACAACTTGATTGGCGAGGTGCCGTGTAAGCTAATCCCCTTGATATCATTTTCTAACGTACAGAAGGGTCTGATAATAACGTACTGGCTAATCCCAGTCAAAGCAAAATAAAATTAAGAAGGAGTAGGACTAAATCAGTTTATCTCATATAAGTATATAGTCCTATATATACTTATATCCACCAGCGTGCGCTTTTTCGCATAGCGGGCTCTCACCAGCCCGCTGTCAAAGGGCCCGATATCTCTACAGCCCGCTCATGATATAGCCCGCTAACAAGTGACATTTAATTTGACCAGTAGCAATATAGCCCGGAGTTCTCTAAAATATTTTCAGTTTCTGTATCGTCTCCATGTGAAATTCCTTATTACACTGACTATATATACATTTTATTATTGTGTCCGGTAGGGCTGCTCATGCAGCTCGTGAGCAGATGACATGATACTTTGATTTATATCAACGTTATTATAACACACTACATAATACACATCAGCACTATAATCCCCCTATATTATTGATATTCATCGTCACTGACATTACATTCATTATTCCCACGGCCCAGGAATGCAGTGCATCTCCAGCCCCTATATACGACACAGCCCTTTATGATTGGCTTACATTGAACACGTGACGTGTTACCATGGTTACATTTACAACAATTAGTGGCGACCTTTTCTAGAGTTGACTTTTATACAAGCTCCATTGTTTATTTATAAAATTATATATATACATATCACCGGAGACTCGCGGGCGGAACAAAATATTGCACGCGCACGCGCGTGCAATATTTCATATGTCCCCGAGGGCGCTAGCCCGAGGAGGACATATTTTCGTATAGCACGGAGGGCCCATCGGGCCCGAGTGCTATACGATTTTTCCGCCCGCAGGTCGAGGTGATGTGGATTATATCCACCAGCGGGCGTATTACAGTTAATATATAATTTTATAAATAAACAATGGAGCTTGTATAAAAGTCAACTCTAGAAAAGGTCACCACTAATTGTTGTAACCATGGTAACACGTCACTTGTTCAATGTAAGCCAATCATAAAGGTAGGTAGTGCGCCATCGACAGTGAGCCGCGCGTGCCGACTGTAGGATGGTTTTTTAACGCTAATTTCGGCCAGCACAATTTTCTTCAAACAAATAGATATTGAGTATCCTTCCCGACCTCCAATTGCAACAAAAATTGGTAAGCTTACTCATAGACTTACAAGAAAAGTGTCCGAAAAATTTAAAGCATATCCAACCATCAAACATTATGTTACAGCTAAAAGCAGCGTATTTTGCCCCATTTTGATCACTATATCAACTCCGATATCCACCAAATTTTTCGGACAGTTGTGAAAGCCCTATTGGAAGGTCGTCGCCAATTTTCAGAATGATCTCATTTAAGGAACTGAAAATAAATCCGAATAATACGACAAAAATGGTCAAATTTGGACGAATTTGGTCAAATTACACGACTTTTACAGCTACTTTTGCTCCAAAAGCCGCGCACCATCAAATATGGCACCTAGGAGAAACTCACTGATCTTTCCAAAAAGGTATGACAAATTTGGTATTGTGAAAATTCTCACAGTCTCTAGAAAACAGTGGTACAAAAATTTTTAAAATCCGAGCAAGTTTATTTTTATCGTGCACCCCCTAATAAAGGGGTGTGTCGTATATAGGGGCTGGAGATGCACTGCATTCCTGGGCCGTGGGAATAATGAATGTAATGTCAGTGACGATGAATATCAATAATATAGGGTGACCGATTATAGTGCTGATGTGTATTATGTAGTGTGTTATAATAACTTTGATATAAATCAAAGTATCATGTCATCTGCTCACGAGCTGCATGACCCTACCGGACACAAAAATAAAATGTATATATAGTCAGTGTAATAAGGAATTTCACAAGGAGACGATACAGAAACTGAAAATATTTTAGAGAACTCCGGGCTATATTGCTACTGGTCAAATTAAATGTCACTTGTTAACGGGCTATATCATGAGCGGGCTGTAAAGATATCGGGCCCTTTTACAGCGGGCTGGTGAGAGCCCGCTATGCGAAAAAGCGCACGCTGGTGGATATATTAACTGTAATACGCCCGCTGGTGGATATAATCCACATCACCTCGACCCGCGGGCGGAAAAATCGTATAGCACTCGGGCCCGATGGGCCCTCCGTGCTGTACGAAAATATGTCCTCCTCGGGCTAGCGCCCTCGGGGACATATGAAATATTGCACGCGCGTGCGCGTGCAATATTTTGTTCCGCCCGCGAGTCTCCGGTGATATGTATATATATATACTCCTATGGAGAACCCGGTGAATGTCCTTGCTGTACGGCAGTGATAAAGTTAAACAAGGAACTGAAACTGAGGGGTTCTGTTCAGACTTCAGGCCCTACACACTTTGTATTTGTCTAGTTCTAATGTACCGTCACAATAGTGACTTTAATATACTCCTAGCTAGTCCTACAGACTGGTAATCTATTTGTCCAGGTAACACAAATTCCAACTACTCTCTACTTGTTCCGCGGAAGGAGTAATGAAAAGGATCGAGTGTCCCGCAGAAGCAATTTAATAATATAATATATTTAATATTTAACAATATTAATTATTAAGAGGTGCAAGAAGTCAACAAGCCTATAGAGACAGTGTACTTGCTTTGCTATACGACGATTCATCTGCACAACAAGCCTAGAGACAGTAAATTAACGACGGAAAGGTTCTCCTAGGTGCCGGAGACACAGAAAACTCTACTAGTATATGATGTTTTCAAGGCCGGTCACTTGGCGGAAAAAGTTTACGAAATTATGGCACTCAACAACATAGTTCATGAGCTATAGTCCCCGCCAACATGACAAACTTGTTCCAGCCTCTAGATATTACGGTAAATCGTGTTGCCAAGGACATTGTCCGACGTTGTTATAGTTCATATTACTCAGGGGATGTAATGAAACAGTGCTAGGAAAGCTCCACGTGATGTTAAGGTTAACCTAAAGTTGTCTAAGATAAAGCCACTTTACGTCGAATGGATTGTAAAAGTTAACACTGAAATACAGGACCGGGCTAGTTTGATAAAAAAAGGTTTCCATAAAGCTAGAAACCACTGATGCTTTAAGCATGGACTATTCTATGCACGAAAACCCATTTGATGAAGATGATAATATGTGATATTAAACACTGATCATGTACACATATTTTAACATTTTTAATGCTTAACGACTGCTTTTCTTACTTACTGAATAAAAAATGGATTTAAAAATCATTTGCTGAAATAAAAAACGTCAAAGAAAAATGAATTAAAAAATTATATTTTAATACTTTCAACACTACTATATAACAAATAATTTGAGGTATCGAATTATTACAAAGCAGTTGTTTAGTTTTTTTAAGAACTGACAATTTGTCATTTTGTCTTTCGGTCCTTGATCTTTGTAGCAGGGTGTTTAACATGGAAAAGATGGAGTTGGACCTGAAAAAGATGGAGGAACAATTGGAAAAGATAAACTGCAATACACTGAAGTTTAAAGGTAAGAAAGATGATAAAGATAATAAGATTAAGATAACTATTGAATCCGCAGCTAGTGGGGACCTTTTAGGTACATTTACCAAACCAGACATGCTTGTCGTTATCCAGGATATTTACACTTTCTCCAAAAATGCTCTTCGACTAACAAAAACTGTTCTAGGAGCAAAACAAGCCACAACTTCTACCAAACAGGAATCACCAGATTTCAAAGAAATTATAAAGACACAGCTCAAAGAGGTACTAGCAGAAGTACTCCCTACAATACTACCCGATTTATTGACTTCAGTGGTGGCAACACTACCCAAAGAAAAGAAGACTCAAGAAGAAACGAAGCTCGCAGAAAAACACATTCTCACAGTGGAGAAAAAGACTGGGAGTTCTGAAGAACCCATTACAAAGGAGGATGAAAAGGAAATGAAAGGTTCCCTTAAAGTGAACCCAGTGAAGAACTATACAGTGTCCGGAAATACTGCAACTTTCAAGTTTGTGACCAGGGATCAACTTCAGAAAGCTGAGACAGTATTTAAATCTCAAGATAAATACAAAGTATCATCAAAATCCGAACCAGGAAAGAAGTTGGACCCCAAATTGTCTATTCGGAATATTCCCTCTGACATCACAAACAAGGAGACATTGCTAGAGAAACTTTTGGAAAAGAATGAAATACTGAAGTTCTCTTCTGGAAAAGACGATGCAGTAAAAGTGGTTTTCTTCGATGAGATTGAGAAATCGGCTGTCATCCGTGTCACTAGGCAGCAATGCGTGAGTTAATCAGACAAAACAGAGACTATATACACATTGACCTCAGGGAACACCATGTCACAGACCGAATTCATGTCATTCAATGTTATCACTGCCAGGAATTTGGTCACATGGCCAATTCCATGTACTGTAAAGCCAAAGATAAAGACCCAATATGTTTCTTCTGTGCAGGAAGCCACAAGTCGAAAGATTGTAATAACAAGAGTGAAAATAATGTAAAAAAGATAAAGTGCTCTAATTGCGCCAAAAGTAGTAAACACTCGGAGAAGAACTCAGCAAAGACCCATAAAGCCTCTGATAACCTATGTCCCTCGTATGTAAGAGAACGGACTGGAATAATGAATAGGACAGCAGGATGTGAGAATGCAAAAAACTGGTACATACAGAAGACAAAGGAGACCAAACTACGCCTAGGAAGAGTTTAAGGATTGGAACGTTCAATGTTAGATCCCTAGTGAACAAAACAGTCGGAGTGTTAGAGCATCTTCAAGAAGTTGATTGTGACATCTGTTTTGTACAAGAAACCTTCTTTCGTGATGGAAACACAGCTAAGATAAAGGAGATCAAAGACCTTGGTTGGAATATACTCTCGGATCCAAGAAAACACAGAGGAGGAGGAGGTATAGCTATGCTATTTCGTGATGTGCTCCGGTTAAAGTGTAATAGTAAGGTCATGAAGTACAAATCCTTCCAAGTGATGGAATCACTGCTACAATCTCAACAAGATATTGTGAGACTTGTGAACTTGTATCGGCCTCCTTATACCAAGAAGGCTCGGTACACGGAGTGTGCCTTTTTAGAAGAATTCGAAGACTACCTTAAAGACCTCACAGTCAAACCTGGCTTCCCCATCATTGCTGGAGATTTCAACTTTCACATGGAAAAGCCTGAAGAACACTACCCAAAGAAGCTCTACCAACTCCTGGAGGAGTATGATCTATACCAACATGTTCCCCTTGAACCAACCCATGACCAAGGTGGAACCCTAGATCTTGTAGTGACTAACCGATCCTTCAAGGAAAAACTGACTTCATTCGAAATCTGTCCCTCTAGAACCAAATCTGACCACTTCCTTGTCTTCTTCGATGCAGACATCAAGACAAAGACCAAAGAAGACGCAAAATTCATGAACTACAGAAACTTTAATTTAATTGATACAGAACAGTTTAAAGAAGATATTTTAATTTCAAAACTGACAAACTTCCCTAAAGACATGTCTCCGAATGATGCTGTTGTCCTTTACAACACCGTGCTCACTCAGTTAATGGATAAACACTGTCCTTACATAAAAAAGAAGATTACTAAGAAGCCAATGCCTTGGTTAGACCTGGAACTTCGTATTCTCAGGCGAAAGAGAAGAACTGCTGAACGTGCGTGGAGAAAAGATAAAGTTGATGATATAGACAGTGCAAGATCTGAGTACCTGAGATCGGATTATGTTAAGCTAAGAGATGAGTTTTCCCGACTAGAGTTTGTCAAAAGATGCGCTCACCACAAAACCTCTCTTAGGTCCTCTTCAGGGGATACTAAAGCGTTGTACAAAAAAGTCAACAGGCTTTTAGGAAATGACACCCAAAACCTTCCAAACTACAAGGATCCTGTGAAACTGTCAGAAGATTTCAAAGATTTCTTCGCTGAAAAGGTTGCAACCATCAGCCAAGCCATTGAGAAGGAAGGAAAAGACAAAGACAAAGACAAAGACAAAGACAAAGACAAAGACAAAGACAAAGACAAAGACAAAGACAAAGACAAAGACAAAGACAAAGACAAAGACAAAGACAAAGACAAAGACAAAGACAAAGACAAAGACAAAGACAAAGACAAAGACAAAGACAAAGACAAAGACAAAGACAAAGACAAAGACAAAGACAAAGACAAAGACAAAGACAAAGACAAAGACAAAGACAAAGACAAAGACAAAGACAAAGACAAAGACAAAGACAAAGACAAAGACAAAGACAAAGACAAGGACAAGGACAAGGACAAGGACAAGGACAAGGACAAGGACAAGGACAAGGACAAGAACAAGGACAAGGACAAGGACAAGGACAAGGACAAGGACAAGGACAAGGACAAGGACAAGGACAAGGACAAGGACAAGGACAAGGACAAGGACAAGGACAAGGACAAGGACAAGGACAAGGACAAGGACAAAGACAAAGACAAAGACAAAGACAAAGACAAAGACAAAGACAAAGACAAAGACAAAGACAAAGACAAAGACAAAGACAAAGACAAAGACAAAGACAAAGACAAAGACAAAGACAAAGACAAAGACAAAGACAAAGACAAAGACAAAGACAAAGACAAAGACAAAGACAAAGACAAAGACAAAGACAAAGACAAGGACAAGGACAAGGACAAGGACAAGGACAAGGACAAGGACAAGGACAAGGACAAGGACAAGGACAAGGACAAGACAAGGACAAGGACAAGGACAAAGACAAAGACAAAGACAAAGACAAAGACAAAGACAAAGACAAAGACAAAGACAAAGACAAAGACAAAGACAAAGACAAAGACAAAGACAAAGACAAAGACAAAGACAAAGACAAAGACAAAGACAAAGACAAAGACAAAGACAAAGACAAAGACAAAGACAAAGACAAAGACAAAGACAAAGACAAAGACAAAGACAAAGACAAAGACAAAGACAAAGACAAAGACAAAGACAAAGACAAAGACAAAGACAAAGACAAAGACAAAGACAAAGACAAAGACAAAGACAAAGACAAAGACAAAGACAAAGACAAAGACAAAGACAAAGACAAAGGCAAAGTATCAAAGATGTCCTGGTATCAAAGATGTCCAACAAGTTCTGCTGCTTGGATCCGATCCCAGCATTTCTCTTAAAAAACTGTGTCGATGAACTAACACCTTTTTTACTTCATGTATTGAACTCATCCTTGAAGACTGGGGTCTTTCCCTCAGATATGAAGAAAGCAGTCATCAAACCGACTTTGAAGAAGGAAAATGCTGATGTTGATATTCTCAGTAACTATCGACCAGTGTCTAACCTTTCTGCCTTCTCTAAGATCCTAGAGAGAATTGTACTAAACCAGCTTAATGTCCATCTAACGAACCACAGCCTTTACTCAAAAGTCCAATCTGGATATCGCCCTAATCATAGCTGTGAAACATTACTTGTTAGAATGTGTGATGATCTAAACAAAGAAATTGAAGCTGGGAATGTTGTTATAGTTGTACTTCTCGACTTAAGTGCAGCATTTGATACCATTGACCACACAGTCTTATTCGGAAAAGCTTATGAAGGACTATGGAATTACTGGAAGTGCACTGCAATGGATAAAGTCCTACCTTGAGAAAAGACACTTCTGTGTTAAGATTGATGATACTCTTTCATCTTTCTTGGAGCTGCTGTTTGGAGTTCCCCAGGGATCACTCTTGGGGCCTATTCTTTTCATCCTTTATATCAAAGCTCTCCAGAAAATTGCTGCCAAATATGGTCTTGATATACAGCTCTATGCAGATGATTCTCAACTGTACATCTCATTTAAACCAAACCGTGTGGTACAGTTCATTGATGTCCAAGAAAGAACAAACAAATGTCTTGCAGAGATAAAAGCATGGATGGTGAACAACTACATGAAACTGAACGAAACAAAGACAGAACTACTGGTGTTAGGAAAGAGCCATGTTCTAAAAAAGTGTGAACTCAGTGTCAGACTGCAATTTGGAAGCACTGAAATTCTGCCTACGGAGTGTAAAGGAGACAGCTGGAAGAGTCTGGGTGTCAAATTTGATGAAACTCTAAATATGGAAAGACAGATCAATAATGTCAAAAGGAAATGCAGCTGGACAATGATGAATCTAAGAACCATTGGACGTTACCTTGATGAAGGCATTAAATTGATGCTGGTGAAACAACTGGTCATATCTAAATTAGACTACTGTAATTCTCTTTACATGAATCTACCCAAGACCAGATTGAACAAACTTAGATCAACCCTTAATGGGGCAGTTCGTTTCATCTATAACATAGAAGAGAGGACCACGGACTTGGTTCCCTTCTATAAGAAGGCCCACATACTCCCTATAGAC